CCACCTTCCCAGCCCAGCTGCTTGTTTTTGTATGAGGTAATTTACTACTCTCTATAATGGGGATAATAATGGTACCAACCACAGGACTGTGGAGAGAATTATGTAAGATCACAGAAGAAGGGGCTGGGAAGGTAGCTCAGCGGTAGAGTGCATGCCTTGCAAGCATGAGGCCCTGGGTTCGATTCCTCAGCACCACATAAACAGAAAAAGCCGGAAGTGGCGCTGTGGCTCCAGTGGTAGAGCGCTAGCTTTGAGCTGAAGAGCTGAGGGACAGAGCCCAGACCCAGAGTTCAGGCCCCATGACCGGCCAAAAAAAAAATAAATAAATAAAGATCACAGAAGAAGCCAGGTACTGTGGCTGATGCCTATAATCCTAGGAGGCTGAGACCTGAGAAGAATTGTGATTTGAAGCCACCCAGGCAGGAAAGTCCATGAGATAGACACCCCGCCCTCTCTCTCCCTCTCAGCTTCTTTTGCTCAAGGCTAGCACTTCACCTCTTGAACCACAGTGCCACTTCTGGCTTTTTTGTTTATGTGGTACTGAGGAATCAAACTCAGGGCTTCATGCATGCTGGACAAACACTCTACCACTAAGTCACATTCCTAGCCTTCTTATTTCCATTTAACTACCAAAAATCCAGAAGTGGAGCTGTAGCCTTGAGCAGAAACCCTGAGGAACAGTGCCCAGGCCCTGAGTTCAAGCCCTTGTACCATCAGGTGTGTACAGACACACACAGAAGACAAAACCTTTGATATTCTGCAGTGAATATTATCTGTTACCCTTATTGTTATGCGAGAGGAGGCTGTAGAGAGGCCAGGGAAAGGCTGGAACACTGACACTGGAGCTGACGGAGGGAATGTATGAGGAGATGGGTCACAAAGCACAAGAATAGAAATGCCAGCCTAGAGCCCAGGCCCTGTACCCTGAGATTTCACCATTCTCTCAAGGACTCCTACCTCAGCCTGTTGGGTTCTTCCAGATTTCTCCTGACCTGTTCCACCCATAACTTCTCCCACTTCCACTCCAGCCCCATGCTGAAGGATCCTAGGTTCTGGATGTTACCCCAAGGAGCCAGGGTGGATGGCTAGATCCATGCAACCTGAGGAACAGAGACACGGGCTGGAGCTTACCCAGGGCCAGGCAAAGGAGCGAAATCAGTAGCCGAGGCATTGTGTGCTCTGCTGTGATAGCCAAAGCCTGGGGCTCTGATATAGGGGAGCAGGCAGGTGGAGGGGGCCACGTGGGGCCCCATTCCCATAACAGATGGTAGAATACCAAGCCTTCCCAGGGCCAAGGCCACAGTGGGAGAAGGAGAGCCCACAGAAGGACCTGCATTCCTGCATCCTGAGGTCATTCAGGTGGCACCAAATAAACCAACTGATAACAGAAAGTTTCTATCGGAACAAACCAGCCTCTAGTTCTGCTATCCCCAAGTTCTGTCCCACCTTAGAGACCAGAAATCTGAGACTCACCTGCCTTAGATTCTTGGGGGATACAAGTGGAATCCTACAGGCCATACCATTAGTTTCTAGACATCTTTGGTTTAGCACAGTGCTTTTGAGATTCCTCTGTGTCTGCCAGATGTTTTCAAGGTGCTGTGTATGTGGGGAACTGGGGTGGGAGAAGGTGAGAGGAAGGGGTATACTTCCAAAAATGTCTCCCTGGTTGGGCCAGGGGTACAGCTTAGTGGGACAGCAGGTGCTTAGCCTGCTCAAAGGCCTGAGTTCCATCCCAAATATTAAAAGAATACAATAAAACCCACAAATCATCTGGATGTCTGCCTGCAGGCACTTGTATCCTAGAAACCGAGGCAGGCAGAGCTTAGCTGGGCTGAGAGAGGCCTGTGAGTGGTGGAAGGTCAGCCATATGCCTGGGTGGGATTTAGGCAATGGACCTCTCTTGTCACACCCTCCATTGGGCCTGCCACTTCCGTAGCCTGGGCCTTTGACAAGCCAGAGAACAGCAGCGGGAACAGCTGTGAAAATCCTTCCAACCGAGATTAAAAATAGCCATGCCCTCCCTGGCCCCTGTTTGCTGTAGGCCTGGTTTGTGTTGTATTTGCTCAGCTTGAGTGCTCAGCCCCGTTCCCCAGGCCTCACACTGAGGCAGAGAAGGGGAGGGCCCAGGAGTGGGCCCAGCTGGAAGAAAAGCTTCTCCATCTCACTGCAACAGTAGGGCCTAGGAGACCACCTAGCCCAACCTGAGGACTCTGACAGAAGTGATGGCATCCAGAGAAAAGCTGGGAGCACTAAGGGCACCAGGAGCATTCCGATCCTCCCCAGCCCTTATCTACTTGGCCTTGAGCAAGTCCCAGTGTCAGACCAGCATGTGGCCCAGGGCTCTCTGGCCCCTCTGAGGCCAGCCGTCCATCACCCTCTCTCCCAGGTTGCCTCATTTTCAAGGATTAACCCTGGAGGGTGGAGCAAAGCCCCTAAAAGTAAAACCCCTCTTGGCACCAGAAGAGGGCGCTGGTGGGAGATGGAGGCGTTCCGTCTATTCCAGGCCTCAGGCTGAAGCCAAGTGAACGCTTTCCTGAATGGAAGGGTGTGGTTGGGTGAGAGTTGGGAGTGGGAATTAGGAGGTAAGTCTGGGGAGAAGGTTGAAAGAGGGAAGCTCCTATGTTGGGGGAACCTGTATTTCTAGTTTTCTCCCAGTAGGAAAGTCCAGGAGGACCAGAATCTTAGCTCAATCCCCTCCACATTTTCAGTGACTAGAAGGGAGCCTGGCATGTCATAGGGAGCCAACAGTATTTACTACAGGAGGGGAGGAATGAATCAATGAAGTTAAAGGAAACTTCAGATGGCCTCTGCTTCCCATCCCTGACATTGACACTGGCAATTGTGGATCCTTGTCCTCTCCTCTATAACCCTCTCCCTCCCTCTACTCCCCCCCCCCCCGCCCCACCTGCCACCATGTCCCTGAAAAGCTCAGCATCTTGAATGACAGCCCTGGGGAGCAGCTCCTAAAGACAGAAAGACATGATCTGTTGGTGACAGACCTGCAGAGGTAGAGCCCCCCTCCCCCACACGCAGGGATCTGTTCCTTTGTTCACTGTCCTGGCTTCCTCCCTCAGATCAGAACCCATTGAGCACTCAGTAAAAAAGGGAATTGCGGTGGCTCATGACTGCAATCCTAGCTACTCAGGAAGCTGAGATCTGAGGATCATGGTTCAAAGCCAGCCCAGGCAGGAAAGTCTGTGAGTCTCTTATTTCCAATTAAGCACCAAAAAAAACCAGAAGTGGAGCTGTGGCTCAAGTAGTAAAGTGCTAGCCTTGAGCCAAAAAGCTCAAGGATAATACACAGGCCCTGAGTTCAAGCCTCAGAATTGGCGCGTGCGCATGCGTGCATGCACACACACACACACACACACAAATGGGATTGAGAAATAGGTCAAATAAAATTCAAATTATTCTTTTTCCTTTTGACTTTTTTTTTCTTTTGCAGGACTTCCCAGAGCTTTTAATGTGCCAGTGTCACCGTGAATTGCACACAGAGCTGGACCCCATTGCCTTATAGTTCCTCCATCCCTTCCAGATGGGCAATGCAGCCTTGGGGAGGAGGAAGGAGACCCAGGATCATGTCGATGATCCACTGAGCCCAAAGAAGCCACTAAGGGGTGCTAGGTTGGTATATACACAGGTATATCTTGTCTCATAGATCTCACTACCTCAGCTGGTATCTGACGAAGTTGCTGGCTAATGGACCCAACTTTTTCCCATGCAAGGTGCCAGGCTTTCCTGGCAATGAGCAGAATGGGAGAAGTATGCCAGCCTGCTGGGGGGGAGGGGTGGTGGTGAAGGGCTGGTGATGTGAGCTCCTTCCGTCCCCTGCTCTTATAGGGCAAATGTTCATTCCATACATGTTTGCCTAGCACATGCTATATTCCAGGTGCTCTCCTCCCACGTGGGGCCTCTCTGTGAAGAAGGCAGGTGGAAGCCAGGCCTTCACCAGGCTTAATGGTACACTGCAGAATCTGCTCTGTCTGCCTCTGGCCACCCCTCTGTGCCCTGCTTTGCCTACCAGATGGAGAGCCTATGGGCTCATGTGTCTTCTGGGCTGTGTCAGTCAGTGGGAGGTGCCAGAAAGAGACCACTTTGGGAAGTTCATTCCCCAGCTCCCTGTTGGACAGCCCTGCTTTACAATGGCTTCATTCCTCCCCCAGGCCTTAGTTCCTCCTAGAACCTTTTTTTCCTATCTCTACCCTCTCTGGCTCACGAACTGCTTCCTGCCTTTGCCCTTCAGGCTTGGGCATGGCATGGACTCTCTTTGCTACCCCTTGCTCAGTTTTCTAGTCTATCCCAACAAGAAGCCCCCTAGAGGTGACATTTGTTTACTTCCAGGTCCTGATTCATCTGTCCAGGTGGATAGCAAGAGGAGGCAAGAAATCCTCCTGCCAACCCAGGCCCTTAGTGGATGTTTGTGACTCTTAGCAAGCAGCAGTAGTGGAGGACGGGTGGTAACAGGTGGCTTGTGCCTCTAGCTTTTCAGCTCTTGCACCCTGGGGGTTGGGGCCCTGAGACCTGGCTGGTTGCAAGTGTAATGCCCAGAGACTTGAAGCGCCCAAAAAGACCACCAGGGACCAAAGATCAATGCAAGCGGCAATGAGTCGTTTATTGATGAGCTCGAGCACGGACCCCTCTGTGCACTGATGTCCGAGTGCAGAGAGAGGCCCCCAGCACAGGGTTACAGCACTTTTTATATGTTCTTTGGTAGGGGTAAGGCCTCAGTATGTATTGGCAACGAATCAATACACCACGCGGGAAATTTAAATCATAATTCTAGCGGATGATTGGCGCAGTACAAAGCGGGGAGGGGGGAAGGGCTGGGGCTAATAATTGGTCAGGCTAGCGAGCTATTGTGCTCTAAACTAATTAGAGGGTACTTCTAGGGTAATTTAGGAGAAGTTGTTGCCAGATGGCCACTATCTCTGACCCCGACCCGGGGAAGTGGTTGCCAGGCAGCCACTATCTCCGATCCTAGGCCAGGGAAAGTGGTCTGAAATGTGTACTTTGTCAGGTACTCCCTGCCAGAGGGTCATTAATTTCAGCTCCAGATCCGGGAGTATCGGGGTAGAATAGCAGCTGCATCCTTCAAGCAGGTCTAATACAAAATGTCAAATTCAGGTCTATCTGGTTATATATATCACGGGGAATCAGCACTTACAGTGGGTTATTTTGTTTGTTTGTTTTGTACCAGTACTGGAACTTGAACTCAAGGCCTAGGCACTATCCTTGAGCTTTTTGCCTCAAGGCTAAAACTCTACCATTTGAGCCACAGCTCCACTTCTAGCTTTTTGCTAGGTAATGGGAGACACGCATCTCACAGACTGCTGCCGGGGCTAGCTTGGTACTATGATCCTCAGATCTCAGCCTCCTGAGTATATCTAGGATTACAGGCGTGAGGCATCACTGCTGGCTAGCACCTACCACACTTGAGATTGCCAGCCTTAGGGTCAGGACCTGCTGCACTCAACAGCACCACCAGTAAGCAGTGCAACTCCTGCCACGGTGCCAGCTCCAGAGCCAGGGGGCAGCTCCACCCACTCACTGTGCTGCTGATCTTCCCATTGGCATGGGAAGCCCCATTGGGCTGCCAGTGTTCCTACCCATACCAGAGGCCCCAGCAGCTGCTGTTTGCGCTAACACCTCTTTTGCCAATGGCCCCTGCTGGTGGTTGTTCTTGCTGGGATAGTTACAACTCCCCTACCATGGACCTCACCTCCATCACTGCCACCCTGAGCTGATTGGCTCCTCTTAGCCCTATGCCACTCCTGAGGATGGCTTCCAGTGTTGCGGAAACTGCTTGTTGATTCCATTGCTCCTCCCACCAAGATGGCTCTGGACACCCTGCCCTTGCCACTGCCTCATTATTACAAATTTAGCTACTCATCTAAAGATAAAAATCAAAGCTAGGATAGACTGACTATTGAAGAAGGGACTTTATTAGGCCTTATGTTGCAACACGAGAAGCCAGCTTAGCAGGGTATCTCCCAGGTGACTCAAAATATACAGAACACCCTACTTATAAAGCCCAAAAGAGGGTACAGAAAGGTATCCATTCGGATCATGGAGGATTTTCATGCAAATGAATGACTGTGTTTTCACCAGTCATGGCACAATCTTCATTAGTCCTGGCAGTCCCTTATGCAAATGAAGGGCTGTGTTTGTACCAATCACAACACAGTCCTTGTTGTTAGGGTAGTCCTTTATGCAAATGAAGATCTGTATTTGCACCAATCACAGGCCTGCTGGGTCACCAGTGTAACTGATGCCAATCGGTGTGGGTAGAAACCACTATAGGATCATTTAGAATTCTCTGAGGCTTGTGCTGGCAAAAAGCCTGGTATAAGCTGTCTGCTGGACAATGCCTTCAGAAGCTGGAAATATGCTTCAGCAGCAAGTTGTGGTGGTTGTCCATGGAGTGTTCAATGCTTTATGAGAATGGGTCAGTTAGCTACCTGGTTGACAATCTTTTGTTCAAGGTGGTCAGGGGCCCATGGAGCTTCCCATTAGGGAGTTAAATCACCCATCTCCCAACATTACTTAAAGGAAAAATTAAAATTTAGGGCTGGGAATATGGCTTAGTGGTAGAATGCTTGTCTAGCATGCTCAAAGCCCTGGGTTCAATTCCTCAGTAACGTATAAACAGAAAAAACTGGAAGTGGTGCTATGGCTCAAGTGGTAGAGTGCTAGCCTTGAGCAAAAGAAGCTCAGGGACAGTGCCCAGGCCTGGAGTTTAAGCCCCAGGACTGGCAAAATAAATAAATAAATAATAGAATAGAAAAATAAAAATTCAAAAGGATGCTTAGAATAAGACATTATCAGGGTTAGGAAGGTGGCTCCATGGTAGAGTGCTTACCTTGCACGCAAGAGGCCCTGGGTTCAATTCCTCAGCACCACATAAGCAGAAAAAGCCGGAAGTGGCGCTGTGGCTCAAGTGGTAGAGCGCTAGCCTTGAGCTGAAGAGCTGAGGGACAGCGCCCAGGCTCAGAGTTCAAGCCCCATAAACAACAACAACAACAACAACAAAAAGAGTCTCACAGGCTGTCTGGGTTGGCTTTAAACTGCAATCCTCATATCTCAGCTAGGATTTTTTTTTTTTTTTGCCAGTCATGGGGCCTGAACTCTGGGCCTAGACACTGTCCCTCAGCTCTTCAGCTCAAGGCTAGTGCTATACCACTGGAGCCACAGCGCCACTTCTGGCTTTTTCTGCTTATGTGGTGCTGAGGAATCGAACCCAGGGCCTCGTGCATGCGAAGCAAGCACTCTACCACTGAGCCCCCTTTCCAGCCCCCTCAGGTAGGATTACAGGTGTGAGCCACCAGTGCCTGGCATCTTTCTTTCTTTTTTTGGTCAGTTGTGGAGCTTGAACTCAGGTTTTGGGGCTGTCCCTGAGCTCTTTTGCTCAAGGCTAGCATTCTAAACTTTGAGCCACAGCACCACTTTCTTGGCATCTTTCTTTCTTTGTTCTAGTCCTGGGGCTTGAATTCAGGGTCTGGACTCTGTCTCTCAGCTTCTTTTTGCCCAAGGCTAGTGCTGAGCCACAGCTCTACTTCTGACTTTTCCTGAGTAGCTTATTATAGATGAGAGTCTCATGGACTTTCTTGCCTGAACTGCTTTGAACCACGATCCCCAGATCTCAATCTCCTGAGTCACTAAGATTACAGATCTGAGCCACCAGTGCCTGGGCAGTCACGGATTTTTTTTTTTTTGGAGGGGGGGCTGGTCGTGGGGCCTGAACTCTGGGCTTGGACACTGTCCTTCAGCTCTTCAGCTTAAGGCTAGCTCTCTACCACTTGAGCCACCTTCCCAGTCCAACTTCCAGATTTTCTATACTGGAGTTCTAACCCCTGTGCCAAGAAAAGAGCCACCTTAGCTGAAATCTGACCATGTTTGGGCTTTGGGCACAGCCCAGTGGGCTCTGCATCACTGCATAAAGACCTGAGACAATCAAGTAATAAAGAGAAAAGGTGTTTTCTTTGTTTTGTTTGTTTGTTTTGTAGGTAATGAGTCTTGAACTCTGGGTCTGGGCGCTGTCCCTGAACTCTTCAGCTCAAGGCTAGCACTTTACCACTTGAGCCACAGCGCCATTTCCAGTTTTCTGGTGGCTAATTGGAGATAAGAGTCTCAGAGCCACCGGCGCCTGACTGAGAGAAAAGTTTTATTGTGGCTCATAATTTTGGACTGTCTCATCCATGATCAGTGAGCCTGATGCTTTAGGCCTGGGAATGCATGGCAGAGCTGGCCAGTGACCAGGAAACCACTTTAAAAAAAAAAGGAGGAGGAGGAAGAAGAGAAGGAGGAGGAGGCGGAGGAGGAGGAAGAAACAGGGTCCCATGATCCCCTCTCTGGCAAACCCCCAGTGGCCTGAAGACCCTCTCCTAGGCTCTATCTCCCAATACCACCGTTAACGCTTCTGAGGACTGGATCCAAACTATCCAAGGCAGTATACCTCAGAATAAGGCCTTATTTGGAAACAGGGACAGTCCTAATGTAAATAGTTAAGATGAGGTGGGGCTCATTTAATATGATTAATGCCCTTAAAGAGGAAGTGGGACACAGAGAGAAACACATGAAGGGAAGATGGCCAAGGAGAGCAAGTCCCATACCAGATTCTTCCCTTTCAGTCCCCAGAAGGGAACCATGTGAGGGGCTATCCTGCTGACCTGTTTGATTTTGGATTTCAGGCTTCTGTAATTATAAGAGAATGAATTTCTGTTGCTGAAGTCACCCAGATTATGGCACTTTGCTTTTGGCAGCCCTAACACACACAGCCTCCAGATGGGAAAAGTGTCTCCTCCTAGAATTAGCAGGCAGGCAGACACACACACACACACACGCACACACACACACACACACACACAGCAGCCAGGGAGAGAAACACACACACACACACGCACACACACAGCAGCCAGGGAGAGAAAAATGTCCTGGTTTTTCTCTCCTTCTCTAGTCTTCTGGAAATCTGCTGTCATAGTTGCTTAGAACTTCAGTCTGCTTGCACCCTACCCACCCACAATGGAGTGAGGCATAGCTATAAGGACTAGAATTCCTATGAAGTTGAGGGGAGAGTTGGAACTGAAAACAAGAGAGCTGAAAAATTGAAGGGCTTTGTCCAGAGAACAACAACTTTCAACATGCTGCTGAGTGGAAAACAGTTTGAAGAAAAGCAAGAATGCTATTAGGAGCCAGGTGCCAGTGGCTCATACCCATAATTCTAGCTACTCAGGAGGCTGAGAGCTGAGGATCTCAGTTAGAAGCCATACAAGTCAGGAAAATGCTATTAAGGCATCTAGCTCAAATTCTTTCTTCTTTTTTTCTTTCTCTCTCTCTTTCTCTCTCCTTCCTTCCTTCCTTCTTCCTTCCTTCCTTCCTTCCTTCCTTTCTTTCTTTCTTTCTTTCTTTCTTTCTTTCTTTCTTTCTTTCTTTTTCTTTCTTTCTTTCTTTCTTTCTTTCTCTCTTTCTTTCTTTTCTTGTCGGTTTTGGGGCCTGAATTCTGAGCCTGGGCGCTATCCCTCAGCTCTTCAGCTCAAGGCTAATACTCTACCACTTGAGCCACAGCACCACTTCTGGCTTTTTCTGCTTATGTGGTGCTGAGGAATCAAACCCAGGGCCTCATGCATGCAAAGCAAGCACTTACCACTGAGCCACCTTCCCAGCCCCTCAAATTCTTTATAGGTTGTCAGGTAACCAGGGTGGGGGAGTGGAAGCATAGCTGGGCTGAGGAGGCAGGTGTTCCAAGAAAACCAGTCTGGGCTAGAAGTGACAGAGGAATCAAGCAGGGCTTGCACAGACATGTCCAATTCTGAGACCCAGATCATAGGCATTCCGTGGGACCTGTACATAGTGGGTGTCAAGGTACACATGTGCACACATAGCCAGTGCATGCACGCATGCATGAATGTACATGTGGGTGTGCATGTGCACACATATGGAATATGAAATAAGCCAGTGTAGAGGGCTAGATTCTTAGAGAGCATTTGGGGGGTTGAGAAGGTGGCTCAGTGGTAGAGTGCTTGCCTTGCATGCATCATGAGGAGATGATCCTATTTGAAGCTGCATTTGCTGGAAAGTACTGACTCATACGTTAACTAAAAGCAGGAGACAAGCTTGGCACAATGAATGCCATTTTGCATCCATGTGTTCTGCTCTGAGCTCTCTTCTCTGCAGTTTGCAACTTGCAGCCACCTTGAAATCCAGGAAGGATAGGACCAGTTGATAACATCTTTATGATGTGAGCTGAAATTACCCCCAAGGCAAAAAGAAAAAAGAAAGCCTCAGCAGACAGACAACCCCCTAAATGAGGACAATTATCTACAATGATAGGGCTGCCCCTGGAGCAGGAGAAATCTTCTCACAGGAACCAGATTGCTACCCTCAAGTGATGGCAGCTGTTAACAACTTCTAGGCCTCCCGTTACAGAACTAGCACTGAGATAACGATCAGCCAGGCCACACAGTCTGGGATTGCCTGGTTACCTTTCACACACTGTCTCAGTTCTTTCTCTGTTCAAACCTAAAGCTCATGCAAGTGCCCCAAAGAAAGGCTGCCATATACAATTTTGCCTCTTCTGGCTGCATGCTCCCTGGATTTGGGGGCTCAGGACTAGGTTACAATCCCACCCAAACAGCCTTCAATGCTGAAGTAAGCTTTCTCAAGTAAGCAAATGGCAGGGATGGAACACATGCTGCCCTTGCACTCCTCTGAACTCAGCATGCTGGCTGC